AACACTCAAATTGCTTTTACTCCCCTCCTCCAGTGGCTCAGCGGTAAATCTGAAGACTTATAACGCTCCCGGGTTTCGATACACGATACGGGCACTGCACAGATAGCCCATTGCTCAGCTTTGTACTTAAGAACAAAACAAACAAACAATTTGTTTTTCAAAGAAGAAAGAAACGTAACTAAGGTTCTAACTCCTTGAGGTGAATTCAGGGACAAAAAATACATTTTTTACGACCCACGGCTCCAAAACGCACTACTCTTTTTTTTGGGGGGGGGGGGAACATAACGTATAGGACGAATTCATAGATCTATTGTCTGGCACACTAACCACTGACCACGCTCGGAGATACAGGAAATATACTGATCTTCAAACCCTTATTTATTCAACTTAGGGGGTTTCATGCAATACATGTCCAGGCCAAACCTCAAGATTCAGGAAAAGTCATTTTAAGTTAGAGCCGCTAAATAATAAAGGCAGCTGGTCTGCAGTACCCGCCGTTTACATAGATATTATTAACTAAATAATGGGATTGAATGTCACAGATATAATGCACCGTAACTGAAAATATGAATTGTGTCCAACGGCATATCTCAGCTTGAGCCTTGGACATTGTGAACCGTAACCTGGCATGCTAACCATTAACCCACACTTAGCCCTGTGCCATTTTAATAGGTACATCCTTATAACATTTCATTATTAATTAAACACAGCTTTTCTTTTATTTCTTATAAATATTTCAATCATACTTTTTTGTTAGTAACAGGGATATCGAAAAAAAACAAACTTTAATAGTAAACACTTATAAACCACGATCATTTACACATTTATCAAATAAAGTCAAATGACGACACCATGTCTACATCATGAACAGCGTGAGAAACGCAAATCAAAATTTAACTTATTGAGTTTCAGCCGCGAAAATAAAGAAAAGAAGTAATCAATTGAAAATTTAATCTCAAATGATACCAGTACAAAAAACTGCTTTTAATGATATTAGAAATATCATTCTTTATATGAAATATCTCATTTTTGTTGATAACCAAGCTTTGAACGGTCTACGAACTGATGAGTGATTTTACAATCTAGTATTTTTAACGTACTGTTCAGTGGATTTCCTTGCAGTTCTAGAAAAGCTTTTTAACACCGTCGGGACTTTAATTAATTTAGTAAAACTGCTTATAAGTTAGAGTATTATAAAACAGTTCTCAGTATATTTTAGACATCGTATTAAAATCGTTTTGTTTTCTAGACCCGTGAGTTTTCTTAGGATTAGATTGTCTGTAACAAGCACGTGTTGAAGACAGAGTCGCAGAACGGCTTACTTTAATCTTACTTTGTGGAGAACTCACAACAAAACGCCTGGAGACAGACACAAATCCAAGCTTAACTACATGACATACGGTATATTGATTGGTGCTAGTCTCCTAAGAAACCAAGTCGTTTGTGTACATCATCAGACCTTCAGTCTTTCTTCGTTGTAACCTACACCCTGTATTGATTTGTGTTCGGTTATCGACAAACCAAATCGTTTGTGTAGATCATCAGACCTTCAGTCTTTCTTCGTTGTATCCTACACCCTAGATTGACTGTTGTTTGGCTACCAACAAACCAAGTTGTTTGTGTAGATCATTAGTCCTTCAGTCTTTCTTCGTTAATCTACACAAACAACTTGGTTTGTTGGTAGCCAAACAACAGTCAATCTAGGGTGTAGGATACATTAGACTTTCAACTTTTTTTTTCGTTCTACTGGACCTTCTAGTAAAGGAAATCGAAACTAGAAGTAACACAAAATAACTCTTCCTTCATGATTATGTTGTATTTACATGATCACTGAATCAGTCTGATATTAAACATATGTCCAAAGTGTTCACCACCATGAATAATGAATGTGTGACATAAAAGGCCTTAAAACAAGTCTGTATGGAACTGGTGTTTATAGTGATTCATCCTGTGTCGTTCCATATAATCCCGCAGTGGTTCAGCAGTAAGTCTGAGGGTTGATACCGTCTAAAACCGGGTTTCAATACTCGTGGTGGGCACAGCACAGATAGCCCATTGTATAGCTTTGTGCTTAACAAGAAACGAACGCTCTATATATATGGTAGTTTTAAGAAAAAAGGAGTGAAAGACATCGACCAGAAATACGTTTAAGTTGTTGTTTTTTGTTTGTTTTTTACACTTGAAATAAATACTTAGAATTTGTATACAGTTTAAAACTACATATTAAGGCTGTTTCCTCTTATGTTACTTCTGTAAGATATTTTCAAATACTAAAGTTATTTTATTAAATTTAGAAGATTTTTTTTATTCAACCATCTCCTTTTGTTCTAACCCTAGGATTATCCATAAGGACAAAAAATGAGGTCCGTTTTTCGAAAACTATTTGTGTACTAAATTGCGTATGGGTCCATGATGTAATCCCACTAATTATTGCTGAGCACACATAGAAAGTGGGTGTTTTCATTAATTTGTCTTGGCCGTTTTGTACGCTCAGTATATGTAAATATGTGGAACCCACTATCAGAAACGGAACTGAAACGAGTCAGTAATTGGAGAGTTAATTTTTTTGGGTTGTTGTTAACCTTTCGTTGTTTTAATGTTAAGTGCAAAACTGCAAGGTGCGATGTGCTTACCATATGTATTGAACCCTGGATTTTAGCGTTATAAGCCCACAAGCTTGCTGCTGAGCCACCGAGAGGAAAGAGGGTAATATTAATTTTTTTGGACGTATATTGCTACAATGACTTACTGGACATTCATTTTGATATTGCGACCAACTATCACATTATAATGTTACCAAATTTTTATACACGGATGATTGTTTGTTTGTCTTTGAGTTTCGCGCAAAGCTACACGAGGGCTACCTGCGCTAGCCGTCCCTAATTTAGCAGTGTAAGACTAGAGGGAAGGCAGCTAATCATCACCACCCATCGCCAGCTCTTGGGCTACTCTTTTACCAACGAATAGTGGGATTGACGCCCCCACGGCTGAAAGGGCGAGCATGTTTGGTGACGGGGATTCGAACCCGCGACCCTCAGATTGTGAGTCAACTGCCCTAACCACCTGGCCATGCCGGGCCTAAATGGATGAAGGAGATTTTTAAAAGTTATAGTAGACATAGAACTAATCAATATCACTGGACTGAATATGTAAATTAATAAGTTAATTAATAAATAAATAAATAAGTTAATTCACGACAACTTTACTGACATGTGCAATTTTGCGCTTCTATAATATTAAAGAGATTATTTATTTGTAGTTAAGTACGAAGCTACACAATGGGCTATCTATGGTGTTCCTATCACGGGTATCGAAACCTGATTTTTAGCGTAATAAGAATTATTTGTTCGTTACAGAATTTTTTACTAAATCTCGTTTTGAGTTTTCTGCTGCTAACTTAACAAACCAAAAGAAAGACTTAGTGCGAGGCAACGTGTAGTGCAGAATCAATATCCTCAGTTTTAGGCGAACACAAATCTAGGTTAGCAAACGGACGAATCAACTTTCCACAGTAGTAGCATTAATGAATTAAGACTAACTTTGTTATGCTTGAGACAGCCCATTTAAATTGTACATATCAGCACAAATACTGTACAATACAATTTAATGAGTGTAATTTTAATGCAAACGTAAGCAGACAATTCACACAATTCCATTTTCCATCGGTTACTAATAACTAACGTTTGTGCTTTAATATGAAGCATAAGCCACAATGCGTATTCGGCTTCTTATTATTTTGAAGGAAGAGAAAAATTAAATAGTTTAATATTTCTTTTTGAATTATAATGATAGTTAAATAAAATAGATTCGTATTTTTATCATGATTGTCTTTATCAGTTTAATGTTTGCTTCTGTGTGCGTGTGTTTAAAAACGATATCTAAAAACAACACTACTGACGTCATTTTTTGCACATTTAAACAAGGAAAAAGATGAAAATTATATTTATTTCAAAATTAATACCGAAATTACAGTAACTGTTCTTTATACTCGTCAGATGGCACCACTTAAACTTATTAACTTTTCTAACAGGGCATATGCTATTGTAAAATAACAATTTCTAAATAATGTGAACGAGAATCAGAGATTTATAATTTTAAAACAGATATTTTTGAAGAAATATTAAAACATCTAAACTTTAAAACGTATGGTTGTTATTTAATAAGTTTAGTTATGTTTTTTCTTAATTGTTAATCACAAAACTACAAATGGGCTATCTGTACACTGCCCCTCGCTGGTACCGTAACTCGATTTTTAGCGCTATAAGCACTCAGACTTACCACTGAGCACCCGAGGGCCTTATTTATGAAAACATATCGTAAAGAGAACAATTTCGAAGAAATTTCTCAGCTGCAACATCTAATAGTAAAACATAAAAATTACTCCGTGTATCAAGGCAGTTTATTTCTTTCAGGTTTCTGGTTTTTTTTATATTGCTTGCGACTGAGACACATAAGTATTTTTATTGTTTCCTATATCGTGCTTGAATCTTTTTATAATTGTTCTTATGTGAAAATATTAAGCCAGAACAGTCAGGAAATGATATATATATATATATATTGATAAAGAAATGTATTAGGCTTAGTTAGGCCTCGAGAAAATCAAACGAGGCTAAGGTGAAAGTAGACCATTACTAAAGCGATTTTTATCAGCTGCACACAACCTGCCACCACGCTCATACATACATATCTTGTTCCCTCCCCCATCTATTTCTCTCACACACACAGATATAAATATATTAAAAATGTGTATGTGTGTGTATATATATATATATATATTTCACTATAACTGTTTTTTATATAGTACAGTTTTACTAGAGATCTAACTGCCTAATAAGTAAAATATAAAGAAAAAACGCTAACGTTAGGCTAGGGCACAACTATTGTGCAACTGTAGTTAAAAACAGTAAACTAAAGGAAATTTCGTTTATCATTGCGTTATGCAACAGGGTTACACACAAAACGTTATCATTTTTATTTGGTTACCATGGATCACTTGAACTTTGCTCGTGTGATAAAGATAAGTGCCTTATGAGCTGTTTTCTATGTTAGTTAGAGTGTGCTTCTTTCAAACTGTACATGCCCGGTTCGTGAGAACTTATTAGGATTCTTCCGCCATTTTGAATCAGGTAAGTGAAAAAAAAAAGTGATTTGATTTTTTCATTAGTGGCCATAAGATTAATATTAAGAGACGATTAATAAAGAAAACTAACAACGTTATAGAAGTCATTATTACAAACAAACAACAAAAACTTAAGTAACTTGCAATATATAACCTTCTAGTGTAGTCAAATAAACGTAACCCTAATTGCAAATCAGCGTGTGAAGCTAATTTTATCTGATAAGCATCTTGATTTAAATATGTATATTATAAGTGTATATGCTGTCTTTAAGAACCTGCAATCCAGATATATGTTACGTATTAAATAATGTATACGTCTTAGTAAATAAACAAAAAATATTTGAACATACGCTCTCGAAACGTACTACGATATATATTACTGTAGATGGCAGACTAGCAAGAAATACATATATAATTGTTGTTACTGAAAGTTGTTACAGGAAAGTTTTTGGTATAACATTATCAAGCCGAACAATCTTTTCTGCTATATACCTAAAACAAACACCTGGCGGTGACTAAGAAAATGATAAACCCTCTATATTTCAGTGGGATGTCAAACTAATGAAGAAAAACGTTAAAACACCATCAAAGAAATTTGATCAACGGTATTTGTTTTTGCATTTAGGCCAAAAGCTTACGCAGTAAAAGAGTGGGAACTGGGTAAAAACTGTCTAATCCAGAAGAGTGGTCAAGAAAAAAATATATATATAAAGCTAGATATTATATATACTCCAACATTATAATAAACTAATGGTGTTTCTTTGATTTGTTGACCAAAGCTGTGCTGATGAGCCTTGAATAGGAGAAACTACAGTCCACAGCATAGGGTACGGCTAATCAAAGAATGCATTAGGCCTATACATCACAGATTCTCTTTTCAATTTCACCTCTGGTGAAAAAGAAAATAAGTCTTTAACACACACACACACACATATGATTTAAATAAAGTATTCTAAAGTGTATTATCTCATCAGCAATTAGTGATAAATCTTTAACAAATATTTTAGACAGAAATGACCTATTAAACCTATTGACTAATACATCTACAGCAAAGCTGCTGGTTTTCTCGTGAATCCTTGTATTGTAGAAGATATTAATGGTGAAAGAAAGATTTAAAAATATCTCCGGTGCAGCTAATTTAATAGTTTTTCTTGAGTTAAAAGTCCAGTTTAAGTGGTTATTACGATTACTTTGTTTTGCATTTCACGCACAGCTACTTCAGGGCTATCTGCGCTAGCTGTCCATACTTTAGCAGTGATAAATTAGGGAAGGGCAGCTAGTCGAAACTACCCAGCGACAAATCTTGGGATACTCTTTTACCAACGCAAAGTTACTATATAACGTCACCCCGACTAACAGGGCGAGCATGTTCGGTGACAGGGATTCGAACCCACTACCATCAGATTGCAGGATGAGCACCCTACTCACCAGGCTATGCCAGGCCTTATTATTATGATAAAGTGTTTTTTGTTTTTTTTAATAGTGAATAAACGTTTATCACAATAATTACCGTCTGTTTTCGGTATTCCTACAATACTACGTATTCATGTAGCTTCTAAACTTTCAAAACAAAAGTGATGCTCAAGAAACACGTTAGAACAGAAGGAGTATCATATAACACAACTTGCATCTTTAAAAATTCCGAATCCATGCTTCAATTTGAGTTTCCTTCTATTCCTGGGTTGGGTGTATTTTAATGGTTAGAGTACCAGAAAGTCCGAGGTTTGAGTCACGATATGCCAGTTCCACTAATCGATTAAAGTACGGCTATGCGTGAACTTTAAAAGTCTGTAATCTGCGTTTTAGTCTTCTACGTGTCGCATGGGATTAGCTACATAATAAGTGATCTGCGTCGTGTCCATCACAGGTATCGAACTCCGATTTTTATCGTTAAAATCCTGAAGTTTACTACTAAACTACGGGGGAAGGTGCATCTATTTTTGTTTTAAATAAGGAAATGTAAGTGTGTCAGATATTAGGAAATATCTATCGTAAAGGATTATTACATGTTGTCAAACCAGAACTGCCGTTTTAACCAGAGTTCAAACTACTCAAGTCTAAACGCTGGTTATAAATAACCATAAAATGCTTTAATGTCTTCCATTGAAACAAAACATATTAGCAGTCTACATAAGTGTTTTCAGAATCAGGGAAAATAGTCACTCTCTATCAAAACGACTTATTTGTTAGTCTTTAAAAAAAAAAAAAAAAGCACTAAACCGTTCGTAATGTTTGTTCATGTTTTGTATTCGTACATGTAGAACTTCGTAAACGTTATATAAGATCCTGCTGTCTTTCTTTCCCAACAGACTTTGTTTCCAAGAAGAAAAAGAATGTTTCGAGAAAGTTTACCAGTTTTAGTCTTATGGACTTTCATCGTGCACTGCCACAGCTTCCAGATACCTTTCTTTTCTAGTGATAACAGCCGTGAAAGCTTTGACAAACTGTGTGAGCAGTGTGTATGTCCTCCTAGTGTGTTTCCTGAAGACCTTCTTTACTGTAGCCGGAGAAACGTCGACAATTTGCCTGTTGGGATAAACTTCCCTTCAAATCTGAAAACGGTGGTCCTGAATAGCAATAGTCTGGAGAGCATCAATTCCGGTACTTTTAACAGCGGAAATAGTGTGTTTCATCTGGATCTTTCCTCCAATCAAATAGACTTCATCGCTGGTGATGCGTTGAACAAACTGGAAAATTTAAAATCTTTAGATCTTTCCAATAATAAGATCTGGAGTTTATCAGATCATACCTTTGAGAAACAAAGTCAGCTAGAAATTCTAGATCTAAGCAGCAACAGAATTCAAAGCTTCTTTGACACCGCTCTTAAATCATTAAAAAATTTAAAAACTTTAAAACTGAACTTTAATCCTTTGTACACCGTACAAAGAGATATATTTCAGTACGTGCCAAACCTTAGTGAACTACATTTGGAAAGGACTGGTCTAAGAGGAATGCCAGATGACGTGTTCACCTTTAATACGAAGTTAACTGTCCTAAAGTTAAGTGGTAACTCTCTGGACGACATTCCTTCCAAATCTCTCGAGGTGGTCACTCAGCTACAGCATCTAGATATCAGTAGAAATCCAGTTAAAGAGATTAAACCCAATGCTTTTAAAACGCTTGAAAAGCTTATTGTACTGAAAATCGACAGTATGAGCAAATTGGAAACCATCCATCCCCATGCGTTTCATGGTCTAAAGAGACTAGAAGAGTTGCACTGCAGTTCCAATCCTTTGCTAGCCAACGTACATCGGGATGCCTTTAGAAGAAATGATACTGGAGAAGTTGTCCACGTGAAGAAAATCTATTTACATCGAAACCGCCTGGAAACACTGAGTTACTCAATGTTAGAATGGGAGAAGCTGGAGGTCTTTGATGTTTCAAATAATCCAATGCGATGTGACTGTCGCTTGCAGTGGATGGTGAGGACTAGTCTACCAAAGAACTCCAAGCATGCCATCAGGTAGTGGTGTATTAAGTATGACATCAGGTAGTGGTGTATTAAGGATGACATCAGGTAATACACCACTACCTGATGTCATACTTAATACACCACTTCATCTTAATACACCACTACCTGATGTTATCCTTAATACACCACTACCTGATGTTATCCTTTTTTTTTGTTTCCAATAATTGGGAAGAAAATCCGGAACTTTTAAAGATTTTACATATTGCACATAGATTTGTATTTTGCAAAGTTTGAAGCTGACCTAACCTTTTTTTATTCTGCTTCAGCATTCATCTTTAATATATAAAAAATATTGAATTTAAATCTTATTTCATACAGCTATACTTTACTATATTTCAAATATATTGGAAAAGACAGGTTTCATTCATGTAAAGCGTTTTCAGCAATATTTGATATAAACGCAGAGCTTAATAAAAATAACTAATTACAACCGTCTCCGACAAAATGACTTGATGTCGTATCTACAATGCAGTCAGCAATTCTGATTTATTTGAACCATTAGTTTTATTACTTCAAGTTTAAAATACGGATATTATTTGAAGTCTTATAGCAGAATGTAGATGTTGTTTTCGTATGTTAATGTTTACAAGTAGAAATTCTCGTCCAAATAACTGCTGTTTTAAATTTAAATTGATATAATATGTGATATTCTACAGTTCATATTGGTGTATTTTGCGTATTACGTAAACTATATAGGTTATTAGAAAACTTTCTTCTATAATATACATGTTAAATTGTAACGTAGTGGAAGATTTAATACAAGAAGTTTGAGGCTTGAATAGTTTTCCAAGAAAACCTACTGAACCCCGAACCATTGGAAACCTGTTATTTAGGCAACATTTTAAATCCAGTGTTAGACTAATTCTGTTTTGATTGTCAGAAATTATTTACACCATTACCTTTGTTAAAAGAATAAAAGGTAATCTTTCGTAACTATATCTGGTTTCTGTTCTTAGATGTGGATCTCCAAGAAAGTTGGAAGAACGTCCTGTGTCTTCTCTGAAAGAGGAAGACTTTGTTTGCGGTTTGGAACTCAGCACTGACATAATCATAATCTTAACCATACTGTCTTTTGTTTTGGTGTTTATGATAGTGATCATCTTTGCGTACGTTTTGTATAAGTGGAACTACTGTCTCAAACCTCGCGCTGAGATGCAGCGAACTTACAGTCGCATCAAATCCAACAAGAACACTGTAGATCTTGATTGGGATCATAGTGCTGATCCTTAGATCAGCTCTTTCGAACCAATTAATTACATGTAACAATGATAATAACTAAACATTAAGCGTTTTGAACTCGAGAATCCGAGTAAGCAGACACCTTAGTTCAATTCTCGTGAAGTTTAAACATTAGAAACGTGAACAAACGTGATTTGATTTGATTTATTCAAACACGTGGAGTTAACATTCCGTAGAAATAAAACTACTATAATATTCAATTTACCAAATACTTTAACGTCAATCTCCTTATACAGAAAATAAAATCCACTTTCTCATTTTAGAAAAAAAACTATGTTGACTGATATCTCACTTTCGTTTTTGTTCAGCAGAAAGAAATATAAATAATAAAAAAACATTCCTTCATAAATATCACATATATCATACAGTTACTGAACAGTAAAATGGGAACAAAAGATCGGTCATCAAATAAAGATTTAGAACCATATTCATCAAGATTTGCTTCAACTTTTTAGGATATTTTATGTTTCATATTTATACACTGATTTCATTTATTTATAACACAAATCACCGAAGAAATAATGTTACTGTGAGCAACATATTCATGTTAATTGATCTAGCTTATTCTTTAATTAATCTGATCAAAACAGTTAATGTTCAATTTATGTTAATATAAAGAAATGTTTACGTGTTTGGAAAACAAGTATAACAATCGTGTAATTAGAATAAAAATATATAATAAACGTAATACAAAGTCTTTCTTGTGTTCGTGATTATGGAGGCGATGTGTAGGCTAAAACAACTTGAAAATAAAACGATAATTTTAATTTGTGAAAGCGGTTTCTGTGTTGTTTTATCTGTACATGCTATATTTTCCATGGGAAATGTTTCTAGATAAATTCGCTGGTGACTCTTTTATGGATAGAAAAACTAAAACTGGTGATTTGTCGCCATAAAAACCGTCTTTAGGACAACAACAAACTAGTATTTACAGACACTTCTCAACATTTTCATAGATGAGGAGACAAAAACTAGTAGCTTATGTCACCGTGTACGGTGTTTGTAGGATAACAACACACTAGTATGTAGAGACACCTCTCGACAGTTTCATAGATATGGAGACAAAAACTAGTAGCTTATGTCACCGTGTACAGTGTTTGTAGGATAACAACACACTAGCATTTAGAGACACCGCTTGGTAGCTTCAAAGATATGGAGATAAAAACCGGTGGTTTGTGTCACCGTGGATAAAGTTCACTGGAACTGAAGCGTACATTGTAACAGTAGAGATAACACTGAATACATTGTAAATTATGACAACGCTTTGAAGTACCAAAGTTATAAAAAAAAACATGTAAATATCTGTATTACAATATATAATATTCCACCTTAGTAAATTAGTTGAATACACGTTTTTCTCCTTGATTTATGTTTATATTCTAGGTTTATAAGTAGTACTTTTTCCAAATAAATAACACACATATAATCAGTTGAACATTTATACCTCTCTGAAGATTTCACAGCATCGGGTACAACAGTTGGTACATGCAAAAATATTTTAGTTTGTTTCTAACACTTGGTATTATCAATGTGAGACAATATGGTTGGTTAATCGTAATTACAGAAACAGCGTATTAGTACTACAGCGTAATTTTGTCGTTTGCGTGTGAACACTTGGTGTTATCAATGTGAGACAATATGGTTAGTTAGTCGTAATTACAGAAACAGCGTATTAGTACTACAGTGTGATTTTGTCATTTGCATGTGAACACTTGGTGTTATCAATGTGAAATACACATTATGCGACACATATGGTCAGTTAGAGAGCCCAAGATTGTAGCCGTCCCTAATTTAGAGCTTCTATCCAGAGGGAGGGTAACCAGTCTGCAACACCCACCACCTACCTAGCTACCCTTAACGAAATAACGGGGTTGACCGTCTTAGTTAGAACAACTCACGGCTGTAAATGGTAAGCATGTTCAGCGGCATATCATAGGCTCGAACCTAGGCACTTTGGAATTCTAATCACTAAGCCGTGCCCAGCCCTAAATAACAAATATTTAAGTTGTTAACCACATAACTATTGTGCTATAATTAATAATATTTATTTAGGTTGGATAACAACGTACCAATGGCTCAAACTGTTTCTGGTGAGTGACCGCAATGACCAGAAGAGCAGCAGATAACATTAAACTGAGTTTCCTATCTGAGTGAATTGAACGAAGAGAATAGACTCAAACTTGGTCATGAAATGAACATTTTGTTATGTTTTATTAAACACACACACACACACACACACGTAAACAGACTTAATTCAGCTGAAAGTGAACACAACATGAGGGCTCTAAATTAGAGGACCATCTCCAGCAAATCTGAATAACGACCGTGATATAAATGTTATGTTATGTTTTTTTTTAAATATTTCCCATTATAATCCTTTACACTGAATATTGACTCTTACATCATCAGATGCGAAATTATGCATCTTAATAACTTTTAGTATTCCAAGCTCTAGAAGAAGTTAAAAATATATTGACCAGGCTGTTACCGCACATATGATATAAAAACGGTAACGAAAATATCATATAAACATCGTTTCTCGAAATTATGCAAGCGAAAAAACATTTAAGCCTATTTATTGTACATGGTGAATATTCGCAGATATGTAACCAGAATGTGACGAAAACCCCTCGGTTCGGGTATTTCTTTTTTTTTTACAGTTTCAAACATCTGGAATCGAGCGTTTGTAGCTAACACAAAGCTACACAATAGGCTAGTTGTGTTGTGCCCACCACGGGTTTCGAAAACAGTCTTCAGAGGGGCAGGAATCGAGCCAAATAATGTTATCCACACAGAAGAGGTGTAAGAACTATTGAACCATCACGATAAAGCCAACTACAGCTAAATTTAGTTTGAATGACAGGTAAAATTTGATTTTGGTGATTAAAACTCAAAACCATAGTCCACCATATAGGACTTATTTATCAGATTTGGACCAAAATTACAAATAACATTTCTTGTTGATGCGGCTGAAAATTTTTTTATTGTCACGTGACATCGAAACAAGTTTCACAACACTTGTGATTGCATGACATCAGACATGACATCATATAGCACGATTCACATTAATACAGAGTGGATAGACGATAGGGAAGTTTTACTAGTAATAGTTTACTGTGAAGAAATATCCGTGAATACGCTGTTCTAATCGAAATGTGATCGAACATTGACAACCCCAGCATAACTGACAAAGGACCAACATGATTGACAAAGGATCAGCATGACTGACAAAGGATCAGCATGACTGATAAAGGATCAGCATGACTGACAAAGGACCAACATGATTGACAAAGGATCAGCGTGACTGACAAAGGACCAACATGATTGACAAAGGATCAGCGTGACTGACAAAGGACCAACATGATTGACAAAGGATCAGCATGACTGACAAAGGATCAGCATGACTGACAAACGATCAACGGTTTTAGGTTCTGACAAAGGACCAACATGATTGATAAAGGATCATTATGACTGACAAAGGACCAACGTGATTAACAAAGGATCAACATGACTGACAGACGATCAATATGATTGACAAAGGATCAACATGACTGACAGATGATCAATATGATTGACAAAGGACCAGCATAACTGACAAAGAACCAACATGATTGATAAAGGATCATCATGACTGACAAAGGATCAACATGATTGACAGAGGATCAGCATAACTGACAAAGGACAGTCATGTTGATCCTTTATCAATCATGTTGATCCTTTGTCAGTCTGTGTGCCATGATTATGTGCAGTTTACGTATGTTAGTATATTAATCTAAAACAGATGAAAATTAAAAGAATTAACAAACCGCTCAGATGCAACTTTTGGACCACCCTATATTGGGTCTTTCATGAAAAACGAAGGTTTAAAACATCCTATATACTAATTTGATAATAATTCTCGATGTAATTTGGCGTGTTCAATGTAAAGCTTGTGTTTTTAAATGTGAAAAGGGCGCTGTAAGATGTATATGAAGTCATGTTTAACTTTTATGACTCATTATACAAACGCGGATACTCCAAAGTCATGGAAACATTTCTTTGTTCTAGTTTCAGAATGTTGAAGGCAATACTAAAACAAGAGGGAATCCTCAATAACCGCGGCTGTAATTAGATCAAGAGATGCAGCCACGAGCTAAAAGTTTGTACTTGAAAAAAACGCAGAGCTATTCTATGAGTCGCTATGCTGCGGCTAATAAGAAATGATATAAAATTACGACATGTTTTTTTTTTACAAATGGTTTTCACATCCGTAACATTAACCTTAAAAAACAACAACTTTAAAAACAAATACAAAGGTAACATAAACACGAAAAAGACGTTAGTATAGTAAAGACATATAATTTGTATTGTATACCCACCACAAGAGGGCGAAATAAGATATCAAAAAGGTTTAAAGCTTCATGCGTGACAGAAGTTTTTGTATAGATCGCTAGAGGGCCCTTAAAATTATTAAATACTTCAAATTATTTTTAAAGTTATTTTACAACAAGGGCGTGTTATCCCGATGAATGTAAAAGTAGTTTACTTTAAAAGCGTGTAAAAATATATATACTAAAAGTAAAGAATTCTAAAATAATATGTTTAAATAACATATTTAAAACGCAACTCGAAAACGTGAGCTCTTTTCAAGGGTGATATTTTCTTCAGTAAATAATTGCGATTTTCTCAAATGCGTTTCTGTAATATTTCTGCCCTTGGTTGATGAACTAATTTCATTATAAACTAACCGTCAGAGTGAAAATTATATAACTTAGATTGCAGGCAGATAAATAAAAGTGTTACTGCTAAAAACTTACGATGTAATAAATCTCTTTCTGTTTGTTTTCTTTTGCTAGTCAGGTTTGGAAGGTACATTCCACATTCGCACAACATGTCATTTCCTTTGCTATGTCTAAAGAACCTTTGACACAAATGCGTAGTTACCGTTACTTTATATTTTTGAAAAAATCTTCAAATTCGGTAATCACTTAGTTTCTGAAAGCGAAATAAGCAAAACACTTGTCAACGGCGATACCAAAGTAGTCAGATGTTGCATAATCATGCTAGTTAGATCAAGTTTAAGACGACACCTGTGTGAATTTTAAGTAACACAAACGTTTAAAGAAAATAAAAAAAAACAACGTTTAATGATACACAATAAATATTTAAGAATGCGACTTTACCCAATCTAAAAATCTAATATATATAATAATTAATAATTTATTGTTGAAAGTTAAGATGTTGTGTGATTCGAAACAGTCTCATAAATTATATTTTGACGTCTTGCTGCGTCATCATCAGGAGTACAATATTTTGAAAGTTAAAACCTAAAATGTTACACTTCTATGGAATAAAAAGCTGTCACAGTAATGGTAATGACATTTGTATAGTTTTTATACATCGAATTAATTATCATTACTAAATACATAAATCAAAACTAAAAATTAGCTTCATAATTAGTATCTTTAATTTAATATATCATTTTAATTAGGCTATACAAACACAGTTGTTACGGTGTGCACTCCTTTCACGAACCGGTGAAGAGTGATTGTTGTTATACTTGTCATAAGACATTGGTACTAGGCCTACTACATTTTTGAACACTACATTCTTAATCTAGTCCACTACAGTTTTTCAAGAATTAGAAGAGCGTATAATAATAGTATTTCAAGCACACAATATTTGTTGTAACCATTGCCGACGACGCTCTATCCACAGTTCTTCAGGCCGGCTGAGATACAATTAAGACAGTAGTGGTCGGAACACTATTTATGTAAACTATTTGATACAACGACAGGGACTAGTTTAAGAATTGTAGTGTTTAAAACTGTAATAGCCTTATCACTAATGCCTTATGACTAATATAATAGGTATATGCCAAGTTATTAAAACAAAAGTTCATAATGATTACAATTTATTGACTCACCATTCAGGTACCTATCTTTTGCTGAACAATTCTAAAATCAAGTTTAGAGCTAATTCTAATTAAACAACCACAACAGCAAACAAACAGGTATGGTATAGATAAACAACCACAACAGCAAACAAACAGGTATGGTATAGATAAACAACCACAACAGCAAACAAACAGGTGTGGTATAGATAAACGTTTGTACACACATGAATCTATTTTTCAGTTTAATTTCTAAATTCCCCTTTGCTTTAATCCTACAAAAATCAAAACTAGGACTAATTTTGAAGATCAAAAACAGTTTGTTTTTAAACAATTCCTTTAAATGTCACGTGAAGAACGGGTTCGTTTTCAATACACGTATAATTACTTGTTGTGAGGATAGAAAATTCAAACGCTGAATCTCTGCGTTTTTGCGGATAGTTGCCACTAACCAGAAGTTCTCGGATTTTCAGTTCAACTATGATAACCACTAGGCCACGCCCAACCCCATCTGAATAACGCAAGTGTTATGTCAAGTGGGGTTCTGTTTTTTTTTTTTCTTCTTCTTCTTCAATTGAGAGAGAAACCTAACGGTTGTATGTTCAGCATAGAGGTGTATACCAGTTTTATGACACAATATGTGGCTTAGCATCCCTTTGGTGATAAGAGCCAACCAATGAGTGGGTTATGTGTGTAAACCTGTACCTGTAACTTCATCGATGTAATCATTGTCTGCACTTTCTCTGTACAAATCGTGGCCGCAACAACGATTATGAATAACACGAAGAGGTAAGTGTCATTTTCTCGTTTAGCTGTTATGTTTCTTCTGCACAATACAGAAAAATCATAGACGTTTTAGATCCAAAACGAAATAGAGGGCGTGGTCTTAAGATGAGGTTGCATAACAGGGTAAAAAAAAAAAAGTGTTTCGGCTTTTCATGTCGTGAAACCACACAGAGTTTTCTGGCTTCATATTCTTCTTTATATCTTACTTTTTACTGAGTTTAGTGTAAAAAAAACAACAACTGGTGTTTGGGAAAAGCTGCACAATATTTCCTAATTTTGAACTGATAGGTACCGAAAACTCTTGGACTACTCTTGTTTGACCGAATAATGGGATTTGACTGTTACTTACAGCCACCAATAACCCCAAGGTGCGGAACAAGTTTTGGTAGAAAAGGAACATGAACCCTCGGATTCATAGTCCTAGACCTGCGAAATAACAAACAATAGTCGTCACTATATATATATATATATATTTCCCGTTTCAAACCAAAAGCAGAGAAATTTACAAAACGTTAGTGATAATTTCTTTCTGAAATATTAGAACGGTATAATTTATGATATAGACATATATAGAATGACAGTAACAACAAAATTAACAAAGATAGAATTACCAGGAAAGACAATATTCTAAATTCTTTGATGGATTGTTTAGGTAGATAATTCATGATGAAACTTTGTAGAATGGACGACAGCTGTTGAGGACGACGTTTCGAAAGTCTCCCGCCTTTCGTCTCTACAACAGACAGTTGCCGTCCATTTTACAAAGTTTTAATTTTCCAGATATTTTATTTGTAGGAAAAGGAACTCAGATATTAGGAAAATGGTTAGAAAAACGATAAAACTGTTTTATTAAATACTCTTCAATAAGCACATCAGCAATATCAATGTTTTGTTTGGACTATTTTTAACTCGTCTTTGATAGTACTTGCATATAAGATCCTCAAAGAAAGTTTGTTTGTTTGTTTGTTTTTTAATTATGCACAAAGCTACACAAGGGCTATCTGTGCTCTGCCCCCCACGGGTATCGAAACCCGGTTTCTAGCGTTGTAAGTCCGCAGACATACCGCTGTGTCACTGGGGGGGGGGGGGCCTCAAAGAAAGAGTATAGATAATTTTAAACCCTCAATACTGCTAAACAATCGCAGCTTCTAAAAATGGCGGCGCAGAGATAACGAACATTTGCACGTCTCTTGTGAAGCACGACATTGGTGATAGCCAATAATCTGACTGCGTTTTTTTTAGTTGCGCCATTCACAAGAAACCACGTTGCATAAAGTTTTACTTCCGTTTTAGGGTTAGCGTGGTGTAGTGGTTAGCGTAACGGTCTGCGGATCGAAAGGTCTAAGACTCGAGCTACAATATATTGTGAGCACTTTCAGCTTTAGGAACGTTATAAATGCGTAATATACGGGTAATTTTGATTGGTTGCTCACCCACTCTGGTCAGCAGTTTTATATTACTGGTGGCTATGGCTGAACTTTAGAGGTTTCTGACCTGATTGTTTGGCCATATGTAAAATAAGGTGTCATTAAGATTGAAAATGCCAATTAATTCATGTTTATGATACAAATACAGTTGAAGGTTGTAGAATGATGTTTTTACAGATGTTGTTTCTGATATAATCATAAATAACTGTGTTTTCGTTCGTTGAAATGATGACCAGGGCAAAATATACAAGTCCACTTGCCTTAGGCCTAACATTAATTAAGCCTTAATTAAGTACAGCCTATATGCGATAATAGATAAATTAACATTGTAACTTGTGTACGTTTTTTACTTTAGTTTACTTAGATGTAAACTTTACTGTGCTTAATACTATCAGACGCTTAGATGTTAAGATAAATGAAAATGTCAGATATATAATAAATCTTGCATTCATCTGTACAATTACTTTTAATTCCACAACTCAGATTGTTCTGTAGCATAAGCCCCCCCCCCCCAGTGGCACAGCGGTATGTCTGCAGACTAACAACGCTAGAAACCGGGTTTCGATACCCGTGGTGGGCAGAGCACAGAAAGCCCATTGTGTAGCTTTGTGCTTAACTTCAAACTAACAATAAACTGTAGTATAAAAACATTATATCTGGTTTTAGGACCCCTTGGTAGCAATTAAATCGACCAACATTGATTAAAATATGTCAATACTCGAAATATATTTGTAATTTTTGTGCTTGTACTGTTTTTCAATTTAGGTTATGAAATGTTTATTTTCTTTTCGGGTATTGGCCATTAATGGCCACGTGATTAACGTTCTCGGTCTGTGAATCCAAATGCCCCAAAAAAATAAATCGCTTCGTACTTGGGAGTCGTAGATGTGCAATAAAATTGACGGTCAAATTCCACCATTAAGACAGATAAGAGAGAGTTAGCTTGTTCATGAAAGACCTCTTCCAGGGAAAGTGTTAAGTTTACTTAACTTGTTTATATTTTATCCCTTTCTACAGATCAGGGGCTTTGATGCTTTACATATTCTTGTGGATAGCGTTTCTCACAGAATGTAATTGTGATGCGGGTGACCTCTGTAAAACCTGCATATGTGAAGAGACCAACGCTAATATTCCGAATGAACAGCCGATGAACGTCGACTGCTCAGGACTAAACTATACAGTTGTACCTTCAGGAGCCTTGTGGCCAACTAAAACTATTAGTATGAACTTGAGTGAAAACGCGATTCATACTATCAACGTTTTGGAACAACATCTTTATCTGCAACGTCTTTACTTTGCATCTAATAATCTTAAAACTATTGAGCCTACAGCGTTTGATGAGTTTCCTGAGCTAGAAGAACTTTACTTGAATGACAATGTATTAGGAGAGCTTCATCAGGACGTTTTTAGCAACCTTGCCAAACTGAAAATATTGGACTTAAGTTCTAATAATTTGAGTTCACTCCGAGAAAATATTTTTAAGGAACTGAGAAAACTAAAACGTTTAACTCTTGCAAGGAATCCTATAAAATACATCCAGAGTGATATGTTTCAGCCAATGAAATCTCTTGAATTTCTTGATTTATCTGATATAAAGGCCTATCATATGACACCAGGAATTTTTCACAATCTTTTAATGTTAAGAGTGGTGAATTTATCAAGAAACGAGTTCCAAGAAGTGCCGATAGGAGCTCTTAGAAGTGCTTCAGGACTTGAAGAAATTAATCTTGATGAGAATCCAATCGATCGTCTTGACTTGAAGTCCTTTACGGGTCTAGACAAAGTTAAACTCGTGAGTTTAAGTAACATGCCAAAACTGGAAATTATTGATAAGTTAGCCTTTTCTAAACTTCGACGTTTAGAGATTTTGCGACTTCACTCCAACCCTCATCTGGAGACTATACATAGCCTTGCCTTCAACGAAATCCTGGATCCCAAAACTCTCCAAATGAGGTTGAATGAAGTAAACTTAAGAAACAATAGCTTACAGACCCTATACGAATATGCCATACCCTGGTGTAAGTTGAAAACTTTGGATCTCCGAGACAACCCCTGGAGATGTGACTGCAAGTTGAAGTGGATAAAATATTGCAACTTGACTGCTGAAATGAGTGATCTTTTATTGTGAGTATTTTACATTTTTTACAGCAAATTGCATTGATTTCTTGTTCAGTAACATGCTTGAAGTTATATTTATTCGATTTAAAACAGCGTTTCTGTTTATTGTTTCTGTATTTTCTTTAGATTACAGAAACAGTACCTCTTTACTTAAGAATAATAACTTCAAATGTGACGTTATTATTCTTAGGTAACTAGATTCTACTAGAGTATGTCAGGTATATGGGAAAACCTGGTATATATATATTACTGAAATGACAATCGTCCATACAGTTACGTTCCAGATATATTTTACAGATCATACTTAAATGTAACTCTTTTAGAATTTATCGTACGTTTTATATTAGAAATTGTATTTTTTTTTAGCTTTTTTACATTGTAGGAATATTGTATTTGATCTTCAGGCCTCCCTGATAGCGATTGAATCACTCGAAATAAATCACTAATCGGATCAGGTGGATTTTTAAGTTTTGATCATATGAAATTTTTATAATATTTAAGGTACAGATAAACTGATACAGTTTGTCGCATAAGACTTTTCTCAATTTACTGGTCTTTGAAGCTACTATGGCAAGGTTATAAGGAACCTCGGCTGCTTTCAGTACTTGTTTGTATGCTGTTAAGCACAAAGATGCACAGTAATCTATCTATGCTGTACCCATAGCAGGAATCAAAGCCCGAATTTTAACGTCAGAAGTATCAATAAGTTTATACGTGAAGTAATACTATCTGTAATTTATAATTCAGATCTCCAGAGTAGTAATTCGTTTCGCCTTTCTATTGCCTTATACGCTTCGAAAGGTGTTTTTGTTAAACAAAATAAGTGTAGAGCCATATATTTCTATTAAGTCCTAAATGTGGTTTTTTTAGTACCACTAAGACTAAGTCAAAACTAAACGTAAACTGCTGTGCTGTTCGTATTTTCGTATTCAAGTCTTGAAGCATCTGGCTACCTTTTATACATATTTATATACATACTGTATATTTATTACACGCGCTATTACTTTCAGGGGGAAATGGACAAACTTTCCCTTGCCCTCTACTGTCTTATATTTATATTAAAAGTTAAAAATGTAGGTAGCAGATTCTTGTATATCATAGTGTCTAGCTTGTTTGTTTTTTTCTGAATTTACATACCACCGTTGTTAAATACCAGAACTGAACAAACAAGTGCGTTATGCCTTTCATTCGCCCAACTGAAATATACATAGTCAGCAGCTATTATTTTAGTGTAGGCTTAGATTTTGGGTATTTGGACGGCAAACTAACTGACGTTTTTCTTATCTTTTGATACCCTCGGTGGCTCAGTGGTAATTCTAAGGGCTTATAATGCTAAAACTCGGGCTTCCATACCTGCAATAGGCAGAGTACAGATCACTCATTGTGTAACTTTGAGCTCAACAACCAAGCAAAAAAGCGCAGCCATGCTGATGACTCCTATGGTTATGTTCCAAACTACCTTGTCATACATTTCGCTCCAATGATATTTTGTATTCAAACAAACAAAGTCGTTGTCAGGAACGGTTATAAGAAGATTATTCTCAAGTTTTTCCGGAGACTTGCACCTAAAAAAACAACATAAAATTTCCAATAAATCTATCACATATAAAATCCAAGGGAGGCCTAACCAAACACAGTTCTCTTTGAGGATCGCGCTCCAAACATTTAGTTATGGAAATCACGCTACTCCAAATATTTCGAAAAGAAGGAGGCCTCAGCATAGAGACAGAAACATCGTCAATAGACAAGTTTTTTTTTTTTTGCGTTAGTGTTTGGTCTTGTTCTATGCTTCAAATGGAACCAGATTTCGACATGGTTGAAAGTTAAACAACGTGGAAGTGGGGCTGTTTATTATATGAAAGCTCAAACGAATGCCGAAGAATTTTCATAGTCAACATTCACTCTTTGATATTGATGTTCATCTCTACAAAAAATGGTTACAGAAACGTTATTGTCGTAATTATAAGGTATTCAATGCTGGATAAAAAAACGGAACCGGTAAAAGCAACTGAAAACAAAATACTACTAAACAAAAAGAGAAAGAACACACAAACACCGTATTTTTGTGATTTCACCTTTCTGTGTCTTTGAAATTTAAATTTATAGTATTTTCCATGATGAAGTAAAACTCGAGAAAATCATTTAATCATTTGGAGATATAACTTATTTATTTTGAACCTCTTGTTTGAAAATACTATTGTACAATCAGAAAAGTAATTAACAAAAACATTTTTTACTGTTTTCAATTGTTCTTCCAAACACTAACTCAAAAGGGGCCTTTTAACGTTACATCTTCTATCTCATATATAAAGACAGGCCTTTTAACGTTACATCTTCTATCTCATATATAAAGACAGGCCTTTTAACGTTACATCTTCTATCTCATACATAAACACAGGCCTTTTAACGTTACATCTTCTATCTCATACATAAACACAGGCCTTTTAACGTTACATCTTCTATCTCATACATAAATACAATAAGTATTCTAAGAATTCTTAGAATTTAACAATATTTCTGATATAAATTGAATATAAATTTTTTAAGATTTTTTTTAATGGACAATCGCTTTCAAACTTTCACGTCACTCACACTTAGAAAATTTACCGAATGCTTCCATATCGATATTATATATGACGATGTAAAAGATGTAATACATGGCTCTTTATAAGCATGACACCTTAACTTTATGGCAGTTTTTAAAACTCTACCTGGCTTTAAAATTATATATTTTATTTCATTTGTTAGCATTAAAATAATTACAAGTTACACAAACAATATCATTTCGAAATGATATTGTTTGTGTAACTTGTATATGTGTGTTGGAATTTATCTTGAGGTCTGTGACTGATGTAACTTGTATATGTGTTGGAATTTATCTTGAGGTCTGTGACTGATTTGATATTATTGATTATAGTCATGTTATATTGTTTCCAAGAAAACAACCCTTACTTAATCCTACAGTTACATTTGGGGTCCGTATGGATCCCAATGACTTTTAAACACGTGTTTCTAAACCATTTATGCAACATATGCTTGTGGGTCCCTGAATTTGCTGGTTATGGGTTTTTAATGACGTATGAATCACACACAAAATGCAAACAAATATCAATATTACAGTTAATCGCATTTTCTGAAATATATATTTTTTTTCATGTAAAGGTTAGATCAGTTCTTTGATCTGTGTTATTTGCAATTTGCATTTTGTATTTCTGGCAAAGCTACTAAGGCTATCTGGCGTCGGCTCTAATTCTGAAATACTGACAAGACGGAAGACAGCAAACCAGCAATACCCTACCACCCATCAACCATAACGAAGATTGACTGTCACGCTTATAGCGCACCCATAACTTAAAGTGTTAATGCACGGATTCGAACCCAGCTCGTCATCACCGAAATCCAGAACTCTAATGCTGGGCAAATCCGCCCTCTAAGTTTTGTAACATTTAAAAAATAAATAAAAAATATACAAACATAAGATCACTTAAAATTACGCATTATATGGACCTCACCAACACTGAACTGTACAACGTATAAAAATAAGTCTGTAACTTGAAAGTAATCATCAGAAGGGACAGGTTTTTTAGAAATAATTTAACACAGACAACATCTCGTATTTAACGAATATGGCATGGCTTGGTGGTTAGAACGCTACACTACGAATCATGGGTTCGAATCCCATCCTGGAAGATGTGGGGTGTTATAATGTGATGGTTAATCCCTCTATCTGATTAGAGTATCCCAAGAGTTGACTGTGGTGTTGACTGGCTGTGTTCCTTCCAGTGTATCTATTCTACATTAAAAACGGCTAACACAGATATCTATCGAGTAGCTTTAGTCCAAATTTAACAAAGAAAGTCGCATTTACTATTGATTGTTCGTGTGTAGAAATGCTATACTTAACCACGTTATCGGTGTTTGTTATATCCTTGTTTCGTCTATTAACATTAGAGTTTGCACTGTTTTAAATTAGTTTTGTCCTGGACGAATATTCTTGAGAGATATTTGAACATTAATTTCTTCGTCGTATCTTTATACAGTGTGATTATAAAACATAATTACCATGAGTGTTCGATTTGAATAATGAAGTACATTTGTGTGAATTGAAACTATACACTGTAGTTTTGGTGTTATTTTAAAGAATAAAACAAAACAAATTTTATATTAGGTGTTTCTTTTTCATTTCGTGTAAAAATGTAGCGTGTAATCAAATGAAATTTTAAAACAATTTATAAGTTTTAGGTTGGAAAATTATGTTTAAACATCACTTTTTAAAAGAAAAAGAAAAAAAAGAGTTCTTAATGAAGGGCGCGTAATGACGCTGTTGTAAAATGAATGTAAAAAATCGTGTAGAACTTTTAGAATAATTAATAATTGAAGTTCTATAAGAAAGAAGAAAGGCTTAAAGAGTATTTGATCAGAAACACTTTACACTTAACTAGAAAACAACGTTTCAGAGGTTTCATTCCGAATATCAATGATAGATTTCACCGAAGAAAGGCAAACAAGAAAACTGCATACGGTCTTCAGAAGCAACACATACAGTCGAGAACTACTATGTTAGAGTAGGTTCACAAATCTGTAAAGCAAAGAGGCTTAACTGTGGGCCTTATAAACTAGTTTTAAATTTCCTAAAACTCGTCTATCTGTTATTGAAACGCGCTGAAATAAAGGAAAAGATTAGCCAGCAAGACACGAAACTGAAATAAAAGGAGGATTAAACAACCAGAAATGAAGATGAAATAAAGGAGATGTGAAGATGAAGATTCTACTGAACAGCTGCAAAAGATTACATAACAGGTGGTACAAAATTTGTAGACACAAAAGAAAGTCAAGATTATATATGTGAGTTTTCGTGAAATACTTAGAGAGACATGACAATGTGGCAAAGAACCTTGAAAATATGATCAACTAGAAACACACCGATAAAATTCGATGACGAGGAACCCACTTTGAGCCTAGTAATGCTTGGAGATGGCTTGAATGGGTAATGAAGAAAAACTTTAATAT